TCGATTCACCGCGGCGCTAATCCTGGTACTGATCAGCCTAAACTGTAAGGCTAAGTCCACTGTCTTTTTGCAATGGCACTACTCTCTCTTCCACGAATCTCTAATCCTTTTTAAGATAAAATTTACGCGTTTTTTTGTTTTGTTTTTCTTTGTATGTTTCTACCTTTTACTCCGGAAACACTGCTATCGATGCTAGGCACGCGATCGAGTTAAGCGAGTTCGGCAAACTCGCTTGACGAGTGAGTTTCAGGTCGAAAGCCGAGGTGCACTAAATCAGCCCATCTGACAGGGGTCACTTTAATACACCAATGCTGGTAAACCACCCTCCTGTCGAAGAATTTATTCGATAATTCCTTTCGTAAGAACCTTGTAGAAACAAAGTTTGCCATTGAAAAGCGGAGAGAATACAGTAACTTGCAATTAGTACTTCCAAAAGTGTACTCTCGCGATTACTTCCCAACAAACGTATTCAAATAAAAACTCAGTAACCGATTCCGAGTCATTTGATTACCTGAACGAGACCCGTTTGACTCGCTGCCAGCTCCTGGTTTGCTCGGACAGCCGTTGCGCTTCATTTCAAGAGGAAGCCAATTTAATCTTAGCCAAGTTAGATTCGCGCAAGCTTCGTCGCAACCTCGCAAGTATTTAGTTACACTGATATCCCAGATGGTGCGTTTTGTACCCGTAACCGAGGTCCCCCCCTCGCGCAGCTCGAGAAATGGCTGGCCAAGTCAAAGGGCATCATAGAGTCCGACGCTCGTGCCCCTTTCCGTCCACCAAAAGCGCCGTCGACGTTCCCGGGAAGTGCCGCGTGCAGCCGCTTCCACGAAAAGTGTCTCCGTTGCGGCACCGGCCGAGACTTCCTCGTACACGCCCGGCGACGGAGGCACTGGCGCTGCGTTTTCCGCCTCGGCCGTGCGCATGCAGATGAGCACAGATCCACGCGGCTTCGCGGAGAAGCCCCGACCGAGAAAGAAATACTGCCGACAACTCGTACGCTCCATAAAAGTCCGTGTGCTCGTTTTTCTGCGGAGACGGCCCATCACGGCGAACAATGCGAGGATCCCAGCAAGCGCGTGCCCGATGAGAGCGACTTTCCCCGTCCGTGCGCACATCAGGTTTGTTAAAAGGGCAATGAATCGATCGTAACCTATGAAACACGATTTCGTTCTTCTCACCACGTTATGATTGCCGCGGAAGAAGAAAAAATCATTAAAGAACAGTACACAGAGGCTATAGAGGCAACCTGCAATGTTGTTTGGTTCGGTGCTATCTTGCGAATGAAGCAAGAAACATTGGGTATGCCTGAGAGTGGCGGCTGCATTGTTCAAACGTGGGCTATTACTATGGTCGCACCGCTTAGCCTTAGAGTCTGAAGCAACAAATGCCCGGTAGGCCAGGAAGCCGTGAAAGCATGACATGCCAGTACAGCGCAAGCTACCGCCCTGGCGGGCTAATCGGAACGTAACTACGTATCATCGGGGTTCGCTTTTATTGCGAAAACTGTCAGGCTTTTCGCTGCGTCATGCTCCAATATGTGTGCGTTGCGCTCGTATACGTAGCGCATATCGGAGCCGTCGGCACCCAATGCGAGGCTTATCGTTCACCCTTTGCCAAGTTACAAAGAGACAGGGTATAACCGTGGGTTCCAGTGGCGTCGGAACAGGGGGGGCAGGGGGGGCGGCCGCCCCCCCCAGAGATTTTTTAGTAAAGGCGGCGCGCGAGCCCGATATTTCGCAAATTTCTCAGATTGCAATTTTTAAGATATTTCGCGGGCATGATTTTCTTGCATTTTGGTGGCATGATGATATTCATCATCATGGGATTAGTTATTCAAGGGCTCAATTATTTGCGGTTATTTTAAAACCACAAATAAGCAGGAGCTTCTCCATTTCTGAAGCCGAATAAAGCAGTCGATACGCGCCTACGCTGCTCGAAGCGCAAATGATTTCGCAGTTCGAGGCTGCAGTAATCCCCGGGGCGTCGTGCCGTACGGGTACCGCCGAGGACTTGGACGAAAGTGGTCGAGTATACGACCCGCAGACCTACATGACTACGCCGCATCCTGGAACACCTCGGTTCCAGGATTTAGCAGTGGTCCTTTCGGTTCCAGGATTTAGTTTTAGCGAACGCCCACGTTTCACCGAATGACACTTTAGCGAATACTCGGACGCCGCGAAGCGGCGTTTTCGGGTGGGCCAAATGGGTTCACATTTTTGTAATGAGCCGCCGCAGACTGTCGCCGCGAAGCGGCGAAAGCGCAGCGCGGCGGATGGGTTAACGCGCGCCCCCGTTATTCGCTAAAACGTCGATTCGCTCAAATGTCGCTGTTCGCTAAAACGTCATTCGCTCATGTGATATGGACCTAACTGCGATAGTGACAGTGTGCTGTGCTATGAATGTGTGGCATGGTGCACTATGAAATGCGAAAACTGTGTTCGTGGTGCCGAGGTGACTTGCATTTCATCCGGCTTCAGAAACTGGAAGAAGGCCACTGAGAAGTTTAGAACTCATGAAAAAAGTGAATGCCACAGCCGGTCCGTGGATAGCTTGTTGAAGAGACTGCAGAAAGCACCAGTGATCAAGCTTCTCAGTGAGCAGAGCCTTAAGGAGCAGAATGACGCGCGAACGGCACTCCGTGTTGTCTTCAGTTCCATCAGATACCTTGCACGCTCGGGTCAGGCTCTGCGCGGACATTCGTATGAAGATGGAAACCTGCGGCTTCTACTCGACGAAAGATCTCAAGAGGTCCCGGCCTTGGAGATGTGGATGAAAAGGCGGGACAAGTGGCTGAGCGCTGACGTTCAAAACGAAGTCATTGAAATCATGTCTCACGAGCTGCTGCGGGGCATCATACAGGAAATAAAGCATTCAACCTTCTTCAGCATCATTGCCGACGGCACGACGGACGTTTCATCCTCTGAGCAGTTCTCGCTGTGCATCAGGTGCGTGGATCCAGACACTTTGCATGTAAAGGAGATTTTTGTTGGCTTGTACAACCCAAGTGATACCACAGCCGCAACTCTTTTTGCTGTGATCAAAGACATGATCATGCGGTTGGGTCTAGACTTTCAGAACCTTCGTGGACAGTGCTTTGATGGTGCAGCAAATATGTCAGGAAGGTTAAACGGGGTACAGAAAAAAGTGACCGAAGTGCAGCAAAAAGCTGTGTACGTTCATTGCAGCAACCACGCCTTAGATATTGTTCTGCAGGAGGTTGGACGAGGCTGCGAGCTGATTCGCGACGCGCTTGCCATCGTTAAAGGGACCATGAAATGACCTTTTTACTTTTTCCAGATAACTTTTACATTAAACCGTCAATGTTCACTGAATGCCGAACAGGCATCCGTTTTCGTCTCGGTTTATTAACTTTTACACAAAAAATTATTGAAATATCGACTTTTTCATTCTCTCCAACTGACCGCAAAAGAAGCCGTGACGTAGACCGTTTCCGGAACCGGAAGTTCTCTCGGCAGTAGGAGAATGGGAGTGTTAGCGGCAACGAGTTGGGGTGCGCCGGTAGGTTTTACTGCGCTGATGTCACCGACGTATTTCCTGAATCGGCGCCTCTCATCGCCGCATCGCAGCTGAGCGAAATTCAATGAGATATGTTGCGCTACAGCGACAGCATGGGACTAGTCCCATACGCCGGTATGCCTGTTGGGAAGTGCAGCGAGTCTTGTCACCACCCCGTCATTGTTGGCAGAAGGGCCGGCCCGTGTCAGTCGTTTGCAAAGCGACGTAGATGGCGTTTTTCGCGGCCTCGGAGATGCAGGAGCGAGCCGACGTTAAAAAAGATACGTTTGAACTACGAGTGTCAGCAAGAGCCACGTAAATACCTGTTTACACTCGGAGCGGACGCGCGCGCTTGATGGAAGTCTTGTATTCGCGCTGTTGGTAAGCGCTTCGGGACCGTTCTTTTACGATTGCAACTCGATACTGACGCGACACTCGGCAAAGAAAGGTTGGACCGGGGTCGACAGTGACGTGCAGTCTGTCAGAATAAAAATGGCATACCAATAACAAAGTGTACATACCGTGTTACGAAGGCAATCCATACGGCGTTTATTTCAGCTCTATATCACACAAAACAAGAAGATAGAATCGACGAGAGTCCCTTTTCGACGAGTGTTCGTCAACACTGCCTCGGAAAACAAGGGGAAGAGATTGACCTCCTCACCTCTTAATCTAGAATTGAGGTCAGTGATCAAACTATAATACGGGAAGGGTCCACAAGGGTCGCGCGGGCATATTCCATTTAGCACGCCAGCCGGTCGTAGGCAGACGGTCTTGCGACGAAGCAACGCAGCGCCGAGTCGGAATGCCTGCTAGGCCTATACGCTTCGTCGGAGTCGGTGAACCCAGCGTTCTTGTTCGTCGTGGTCTGTTTTCAGTACTGTTTTCTTGCTGCTTGAAGTCGGCACGCGCGGGAAGAACACGTAGAAAAATAAACGTTCAGTCAGTCAGAGTTTTGAGAGGAAGGAAAACAAAGAAAATAAATGTTCGTCGGTCGCCGTCACCCCCGTCACCCAAGTAACTGGCGGCCCTGCCCTACTGCGCACGCGCAGTAGTTGCTTCGTTTATTACACGATAGATGGCGCTTGGCTCTCAGCATTATCAAATTTGGCAATTTTCGCCACACATCTCTAATTATGCTACAAAATGTGGATCTGAATATTATTTAACAAAACTTTTAGGAAACATTCGCCGGCTATTTATTGTTTACGATCGCGGTGCTGGTGAGGTAGGCTCTTACCCAATAGGCGATGTGGATTCGGCTGACGTGCACCGATTCTGCGTATGCATCGTAGTGAACAGGCGAAGGAAGGAAGGCGCAAAAGAGTCCAGTTTTCTTTTAAAAGTTCTATAGCAAATAATTTTTTTGGGCTCCCTATTTTTGTGTTTTTGTGTTTCTTTTCACACCTTTTACGACGTGCGGTGGATGAAACTCGATTTTAAAATCATTTCATGGTCCCTTTAAGGACGTTTCGGGAATCATAATGGAGTCAGCGAAGCGAACGAAAGCATATAAGAATGTTGTGATATCTCCTGGCCACGAGAGCGAAGAAGGTACCATCGCCAGTGGAAAAGTATCCAAGCTGCTTCCCCTGTGCCCCACCCGGTGGGTTCTTCGAGTAAAAGCGATGATGCGCTTCGTCGAGAACTACGAAAGGGTGCAACTAACCCTGAAAGACATTTTGAATGACAAGGGGTATCCGCGAGACGACAAGAAGGCAGCAATACACGGCTTCTTGAAGAAAAGGCAAAAGTTCGAGACCGTGTTTGGTCTCAACTGCGCCATCACAATATTTGGACCATGCGAAGAACTTGCAACATCGCTGCAGAAGCCAGATACTTCTGTGGGAGGAGCGCTGAGGGCGACGGAGGTCCTGGAAGCACACTTGACAAGGCAAAGAAAGGAGAGTGGTTTCCAAGAAGTGTACGAACGTACAGAGGGGGCAGCAAAAAAGCATAAGCTAAAGGCCCCTTCAAACAAGACCACGCGATGCGGTCCTCCAAGAAGGTACGAACACAGCAGCGAGCCCTGTCAACCAGCGTTTCTAGACGCGGAGACAGGCCTTCGGGAGCAGTTCTACGAAGCGTTAGATTGTGTTCGCGCCGAGCTTGCAAGGCGATTCAAGCAACCAGGCATGCAAAGTCTCGCACAACTAGAGCAAATAATTTTGTGCGCTATTCAAGAGAAGCCACAAACTGCAGAAGAACTTGAAAGGAAGTTAGGATCGGACGCTACTGATTTCCACCTGGAAAGCCTTTCAAGGCAGCTGAACATGGTTCACTCGCTCTCAAGCGGTCAGATCGGCTCCGTACCCGAGTTGTGCCGTGCTCTGGGCAGACAAGTCCCAGAGGTCAAGAGGATGATGACTGAGGTGATGCGCCTTGCGGCACTTATAATGACAGTGCCAGCGTCAGCGGCATCAGCTGAACGAAGTTTCAGCGCACTTCGGCGTATCAAGAATTACCTCAGAGCTACCATGTCACAAAAGCGACTGACTCAGTTGATGCTGCTGCACGTAAATAGTGAGCGAGCTGCAAAACTTGATCTGAACTGTATCATCAGAGAGTTTGTGTCGAGGACGGCTGAACGACGAGCCGTTTTCGGGCACCAGTGAGCTCTTTCTTATTTCACGCTGTTTGAAGACGTCAACATGGGAGAAAAACAAGATCACCACATTCCAAAAGAGGAAGGACATATATTCGTTCTAAATAAACGTTTGTGAGCGTTTCGATTTTATATATCCATATTGTTCTAGATGCTTCATCCCCCCCCCCCCCCACCCCACCCCAATTCCGTTGCCCCCCCACCTCAGAAATACTTCCGACGCCACTGGTGGGTTCTCACTCCGCTGGCGCCGCCTGGCTGTTGCCGGCTGGCTACGAATATTCTAAAGAATATGTATCCGCTTCTCTATCCAGTTTCTGTAAGTTTTTGGCCGCTCCTGTTTAGACTTTCTGTACAATGTGGTCCATAGGAATTAGCATAGAAAACCGATAGGGGGTCTAACAACTTCGTTATTCCCTTTCCATACCTAACTTAAAACTTCATCGCGAAAAAAAAAAAAAAAAAACGATCCCGAAGATTACTTTTGAAATATATTTTCGTCGTCGCTTGTCCCTAGATTCTTTTATTCATTCTGCGTCCACTTTACCTACACGCTGTACAGTTATTATGTACTTTTAGGTTTTGTTGCAACCCATCCGTGGAAGAATGCAGGCGCCACTTGCGTGTCCGCATACGCAGGCAACTAATATACATGCCACGGAGCACTGCCCTATATAACCTACACTTCAAAGGCTATCATTTGAAAAAAACCACCCCAAAAATTTAAAAAAAAATTACAAATGTTTTTTTTTTTTTTTTTTTTTTTTTTTTATGAAATATGGTTTTTAAGGGTTGGGGAACCATCTCCAACTAGAAAGCATTGAAAGAGACGATAATTATTTGACACAGTTAGAAAAGTAGGCTCCGCAAGGAGGTTCCACCTGGGCGTTGTGTCCCCGCACTGAATCTTATTATTCTATCGAGTCTAGTCTATAGCAATTCTATAGTAATATGTATCAAAACCTATTATTGAGACGTGGTGATGTATGACGTGACTGGGTAGGAAGTTGAAAGCGCCGTTAAAATCTGGATATCCTTCCTATAGACTGCGTGAAATTTTTTTTTTTTTTTTTTGCAAGGGAAAGCACAACGAAAGAAACAAGAAAGGGGTTTTCCTTCTGACTCATGAGATCAATCAAGCATGGCGTTATCGCGCACATCGACATCGTTACATTTCGAAAACTGGAATTACACGAATCCCGAGAGTGATATCTCAAAAACAACAGTTCTCTCGAACTGATAAAAGTGAGTAACTACTCACTTTTATCAGTTCTAGAGAACTGATAAAAGTTGCAAAGCTTCTGCTCCATTATAAAAAAAGCAGAAGCTCTGAAAAAAAAAAAAATAGCGGATAAGACTGAAGACAAGTTGAAGAAGTACACAAATACAGCGCTGACGTACAACTAAAAACTTTACTTCAGTGCAAGAAATTTGAGCTGTCAGTCAGCGCTGTGTGTCTGTACTTCAGCTTGCCTTCCGTCTTTTGCGCCCTTTCTCCAGTTCAATATTCCTCAACCAACTCCACGCCTTGTCCATCGTACACCTTACAAATTCAAATCTTGTATTAACGCCATTCGGCAGGAAGATAATCTGTGCATGGCTTGTACGTGACGTCACGGCCTGTCATGCTAGTGGACATTTTTCTTCGCCGAGAAAAAGCAACTCGTTGGTGCGAAATGTAGGCTGCAATGGCGCGAAAAGACGCCGAGGGAAATGAGGCGGGAAAAAGGTCGAGATGGGGTTACTCTACGCGGGCAAAAGCATAATAAAATGTCTCGGTGATTAGCTAGGTGTCTTGGGGCAGTAAGGGGGGGGGGGGGGGGGGGGGCAATTTTCTGCGGTAATTCAGTTAAAATGGGAAGGCGTGCGTGCGCTCGGGCAACCTGGGCACGCGGACAGGTTGGTTAGCGACTTTCCCATTTAGAGCGACATTGACAGGGTATCTATGCTCGTCGAAGTCTTTATTGAAACATGGCCTATAAGAGCCCAACTACGCAGAACACAATCTGCGGCTTGAAAATCCTTTTTTTTTCCGCCCGAAAACAGCCAGTCGAGAATTGTCCGGTTTCAGTCGCACTCATTCTTCTCTTCATGGTCATGTAGCGTTCAAACTAAAGCGCACCAAATATATTTAAAGTCGAATAAAAGTTTATTATTACTATTATTATTATTATCTCAGACACACATTCAATATTTAAAAGAAAATATAAATTGCATTTTGTGGTTTCCGAAAAGCTGCAAACACGTCGATCGAAAAAAATGTTGCACAGATCACAAGAAGTACAAGACTATGTCATTGACAATATGGCCACGTCGTGCGTGCTGGACGACGCGGTGGTAGCGCACGACGGACCAATGTTGGGACAGACGTGCGGCCGCTTCTTCGGAACTGTCGTTCGCGGTACCGACCAACCGATCTCCAAGCGCAGATCATCGAGAGGAAGGCATACAAGTGCCAAACAATCACACAAAAAACGGTGCATGCAACTTCGTCGTCGTCTGCTTCACACGCCGAAGAAACGAAGAAAAAAATAAATAAACGCGGTCGGGTGCAGCCACGTGACTTGTGGCGTCTCTCTCCTCTACATTTCTCCTTCCTCCTCCTTCTCTTCGGTACACATCGTGGACATGTCACGGCCATGTGCTCATGTTTCGGCTTCGGTTTCGAGCATATGAGTTATTTTGTTTTAGTAAGAAATATACCTATATGTAGCAAAATATTGATTGGGAAATCTTCTGACACCATATCAAATCATGTAACAAAGATACCTCAATTTGTTTTTGTTCCCCCCCCCCCCTTTTTTTTTAGAAAAAAAAATATAATAAACAAGCCATGGAACCGAGGGTATGAGTCAAGGTGGCGACCACAGTGTTGTGATTGGCCCGAGCCATTTTGTAGCACCTTTTGGAGCAGCAAAAAGTATTTTTGGAGCACAGGCACACACTTCATTTTAATTTGTACCACTGCGAATGTTATATGTGAAAACTCGCAAATTGCCTATCCAAAAAAAAAAAAAAAAAGCTTAGCTTGTTTTTACATTTCTGTTCAGCCTTTTGATAGCGTCAAGTGCACAGCAGGTTTGATTCCCTCAAACACGAAACCGTTTCGTGGCAAACAGAAGCACTATATAGGCATGACCACAAGATGCTGATTGATGAAGGACAGGATGAACTGTTGAGAATAGTCATTTTAGGTACGAAATAAATGTAAATCAAATAGCCTATTTCACAGAATTAACATTAGAATAATCTTGAGCACACAAACTGGAGTTTCATTCAAATTCTATAGACTGCAATTAACTGAAATACTTAATTCTGATAAAAAAAGAAACACCTTCTGTCCCTGAATTATGAACGTCAATGCAGAACTTCATGGTAGCAAAGATCGGCACGTGAGCAATAAGTACTTCCTTCCACTGCTTCACCTAATTTATTTTTATTCTATTGACTGTACCTCGAACGGATAAAATCGATAAAAAAAGGTGGCCCCTAAGCAAGAGTTGGAATAAAAATAAAACCTACAGGGCACTTCGCAGAAGTGTTCTTGTGAGTGGGCCTCGCTATATCACCGATTAAAAAAAAAAAAAAAGAGCTTATCGCCAGATTATTGCGGTCTATCATAAAAAAAAAAAAAATAGCCGCATTTTTTATTCAGACATTTTTACTGCAACTAATGCCCTAGTTACACTAGCGCACTTAACTCTCGTTAAGCCAACAACAGTTGACTCAATCGCGATCGGCCGGAGTTACATGGCGGCGCCAACTGTCATTGAGGCGCTAACGATCATTAAGTTCATCTGAGCTGATCAACCTCAGTTATACTCTATTCCACCGTATGATGCACCGCAAGAAGGCTACAAGAGCGAGTTCTTTGCTCTAGAGCACATCTCGGCGGCACAGCAGCTGCCAACGCTATGAGCCCGCGCTTCTAGCCTTCGCTGCGGTAAAACATAAGGTGAAACGGAGTATAACCAATGGGGGTTCGCCCCAATGGTGCTAAAGATGGCGGTGTCCGCCGTCCATGGCCACTGCCAGCGAAGCACTTACTATTGCCTAAGATTGGGGGAGGTAGAAGGATCGTGGCACGTCGCGGAAGCCAAAGCTCGGCAAGGGCGGCCATTGTAGTGTTGGTGCCGATAAGACTTTCGTTATGTCTCTCTTGCTTGAATTCGAGTGAAACGTTTTCATTCTCGTTTCTTTTTTTTACTCTAATAACAGAAACAAAAAGTTCATTTTATTTTGTTTTAGACGTTTATAAAGAATGAAAAGCGTGCATACAATTCATTTCCATTGCTACTTAAATAAACATAATGTGACATCAAAGATACACCCGATTTATGCGTTTTAACGTCCCGCTCTGAGGGAGGTCATTTCCTTCAGCACTCGGATCCGCTGTGCGGCGAAACAAGACACGCAAAATCGCGATGGTTACTTCCCGGTTGTCGCTTCACTGCCGTACACAAGAGCGCCGTGAGAAGTGCACTCAACGAAGCCAACTTCTCCGTCAGAGCAGACCACGAGCATAAGACATATTGCCATAGTTCCGAGGACTGTCAGTGCCTGACACTGACAGAGACATAAAATAGGCTTGTACGTGATTTGCGGTTATAAATGGAAGTTCCGAAAATTCGCACAAGCCTGCCATAACGATACGAACGTGTATAGCGAGGCACGAGCCATTCTATTTGCGATATTAATATAATGAAACCAGGTTTGGCGAGATGTAGGCGCAGGTTTCTTACATTTCGGGTTAAAATGTAGCAGGACGTCTAAAGGGGTGTCCAAACAGGACACTACAAAACGTACGACTCCGACAAATCGTGAAATTGAAGCGGGCGCGTCCGCTTCAATTTTCACGATTTGTCGGAGTCGTGCGTTTTGTAGTGTCCTGTTTGGACACCCCTTGAGCCCTTTGGCGCCGTTTGACGCGACTGGCGCAGCTGACTGCGACTTCAGACGACGCAAGGAGGAGGACCCGCGCGGTTACTGGCCAATCGGACGAACGTGACG